GAGAGCAGAGATTTACAGGATCATCTTACTGCGTGTGTGAGTGTGTGTGTGCGCGCGGTAGAGCAATTTTGTGGATGGTTTAGAGGAAACATTGATTTGGTTTTTTTTTTTTATAATAAAGCTTAAGCCCCCCCCTCCCCAACCTCCTCTCACTCTGTCTTTCTCTCCCTCTCTCTCATATACGGAGGTGAGAGTAATTAACAGCCATTTAAATTCCCTTGATAGTAATTTGGACAAAAGGAAGAAAACGATGGTGGTTTTTCTGGTCAGGGACTTCATCAAAATTCTCTAAAGCTTTAGTCCATTATTTTAATTTTTGCAGCATGAATGTTTCGATTAGAAAGAAAAAAATCTGTACGATGTAGAGGACTGAAGAATAGTATTCAAAATGAGGGACAACGATGTGATCATGCTTTTTGTAACAGTTGACTATAAAATATAATCAATATACAAAATCAATACAAAGGAACAAATGGCTGTGTGTGTTGTGTTGCTCCACCTCTCAAACTGGGCTAACACCTTGTATACTCCTTAAAGAAGCTGCTAATGCATTTATACACAGTGTTGCCAACTGCAGGCTGAGCACGGTGCTGCACTACCAATTAGACCAACTGTACATTCCTCCAGTACTGATGGTTCTACCAGAACAGTCCTCCAGTCCTGTCTCTTTCTGACTGTCCAACACTGTACCACTGCACAAACTGGTACAAAGGAAATCCCCAGCACAAATTATTGACTCATGCCAACAGCAAAACAAAACAAAGGTGAATTTGAGGAAGATGCTGAGCTTTGGCTTACATTGTTGTTTTCATCCTTCTCTAAGATCTAAAACTAGAGCTGATCATGTAGCTGTGATTACAGATGATTTTTATCATCACTCCAAGTGATAAACCTGTCTCAGTCCAGGTGAGTGAAAACCTCATGGGTTGGACAGCAGCTGCAGACACACAGTAAGACATCAGATCACGCCTGAGCATCTGTTTCCTCCAAAGAGGACTGGTCTAAAGCTGATGGTAAAAAAAGACTTGTAGGAAGTTGACATCCACTAACATCTCAGTTCTCTATCAATCTGCTAATTCTGTTCACTTCCTGTTGACAGTGAGGGAAAGGTAAACAGGAAGCCAACAGAGTCTTCTTCCTGTCCACAACAAGTGTAGTTTCTCTTGCTGTCCTAATAAGACAGCACTTCCTGTCAAACACCATTCACTTCCTCTGCAGGACATCTGCAGTAACAGCAGCGTCATGTGTGTCAGAGCTCCCTGATCAAATGTCCTGTGAACTGCATCCATGGAAAAAAAAGACAATAGAGCTGCTGCTGCTGCAGGCAGAGAGAACGCCGTCGACCCAGAGAGAATTCATTTCCCTTCTTTTCCTAATCCTTGGTCCCAGGAGAGACGAGCTCATGAATACAGAGGAGGAAATGTGAGTCTGCCGGATGGTTCCACCACAAACACAGATGAACTCACAACGGTCGGCTTTAGGATGGACACAAACAAAAGACAAATATTCACCTGCTGTATTTAGGCTTTAATAAATTCACCATTTCAAATTGGTAGAAAAAGGTCATTCACCACAGACTGACTGTTTGACTACATTTTGAAGCCAACACTTCAGTAACACACTTCACTTCAGTAACACACCAACAATGTGCCATAATCAAGAAGCCCTACTCCTGAGGTTTTCCTACTGTACAGAAGCCTGTGTGGACATTATTCACTCAGGTTTGGAAAAGACAACTGCACGTCCCATACCAACCTAAAAATCTAAGACAAACTAAAATATTTCAGTGGTATTTGACCCAAATTCAATATTCATTTTTGGGGCACAGGAAGTGAAGAGGAGGTACACAAACCCACAAACACATTCTAGAGATGTCCCCGTATTTAGCCACACTCTTATCTGACACTAATCTTAATCAACTAAATCTTGAACCATACCTGTAAAAGGTTCAAAAAGGGAACAATTGTGCCCACAACAACAGACCCACCCTCTCCCAAAAATATAATTATATATATATAACAAAATTACCAGCTGTGACATCATAAACATGCATACAAAAAACAAGAAGAGAAGAAAAAGAAGAGTGGCTCAAACCTGGTAACCAGTTTCTACCACAGACCAAAACCAAGTAACTGAATCAAATACCAACTTGTCAACTTGGCAAATATTTTGCAGCAGGTTTTGAAATGAGAAAGAAACAGCAGCAACAGTGAACAAACTGATTTACTTCAGAGTTCAGCTGGGTGGAGTCAGCACTGCTGCTGCTGTAGACAGACATTTGTTTCTCAGTAAACATCGTTGTTTTACCAGCATAAAAAAAAAGAAACCTGTCGTCTGGCTCTGTGGTGAATCTGTTGACATCATGGTATTAAGTGTAATGTGAGGTGATGTTGAGAGGAAAGAGTCTTTATTCTGTAAAAATAGAGCAGCAACACTTGTATGGATACCTGTCCGAGAGCAAGGCTGTAATCTGCAGCCTTCAGGTGTCTGATAGCTTTGGATATAAATACCTACCATTACTGAGAGGCTGGCAGGAGACCAAGTGCATGCTGGTCTCACACACACACACACACACACACGGACACACAGAGGAGTGTGAAAGGCCTTGGTGATGTTGTGTTTTTTGCTTTGTTTTAAACAGAGTGACCATGTGTGGGAGAGAGAAACGGAGCAGGATCCAGCTGAGGGACATGTGCCTCCCAACTGCCCTTCCTCTCAATCAATAGCCCACGCTCGAGGTTTTAATTAGCTAATCAGTGGAACATGGGCTTTTAAGCGTGTTGGGAGGACGTGGTTAAAACCTGGAGTCAATACCTATTAAAACGCCAGCCTCAGCTGTTGATGCTCAGCCAAGGCCGTCCACTAAAAGCTACTGTCTCTGACCAGAGCTGCTCCAGTTTGATGCTGTGACCATGGTCACAAATGACGACGGGTTCAACGTTTACAGCAGAGAAGTCATCATGGTAAACGCAGAGGGTTGTGCAAAAGTTTTAGGCCACAGTGTCTTTTCACTTTCTGCAGCTTTTAATTTTTTTTTTCATTTTTGTATGAAGTATTTAAAGCAGATGTGTAGACAGCGCCCATTCTAATCTCCATATCATTAAAGATTTACCAGCCAATATATTAAAGTCTGGTTTCCAGTACCTTCTGGGATTTTGCCCAGGAAACAAGCCCTCTGCCCCGACTGCTCCTCAGATAAAGGAACCTCCATTTGTGCTCATCAATATTTGGCTCCATGTTTTTTACAACTATGAAGATTTTCGACATTTCTGTCTTGAGTTAGGAGAAGTGGTAGAGAAAGTCGAAACTGTTTTTTGTTAACACAGCCATCGAGGCGTCGGCTGTTCTGACTGATCTGCTCCGTGAAAAGAAGTCTTTTTGTTGGGGAGAGAAGAACTTCTGTAGCTGTAGACTGGTGCTGATGTTTGGTCTGGAGACAGCAGCAGTGTCTGACAAACAGAGCTGAGTATGACCAGGATGGACCAGCAGAACACAAGACCAGCGGTTCATCTATGGTTCAGATGATTTGGACATCTGCTGATGAGAAGTAGTGAAAATGAAGGAGTAAGAGTGTTTAGAGACGGAGCTGCACAGACAGGAGGCAGAGAGGAGGAGAAGACAAAGGACTGGATGGGATGGGTGTGGAGCTCATGGTAGGATTAGTAATATAATAAGTGATTATTAACTGATAAGCTGTAAACAGCAACCACCTGTTTCCATAATGTTCACCTGACCACACCTGCAGCACATCGACAAACAACTTAAACATTAGGGATACACATTCAAATCAACCTGCATGCTGTGATAAAGTTTTTCTGGCACTGAGAACAAAACAGCAGAAGCCAGAACCTCGCCCAGTGACTCCAGGCTGAACGGCACCGACTGCCTGAAGTGTCACGTGCAGCAAATACCAGAGGGATTAAGACAGAGTGACGCTCAGTCAGGAGGCAGACGGGCCTTCAGCAGCCAACACAAACTCTTCTGCTGTGTGTGTGTATGTGTGTGTGTGTGTGAGACTAGGACGACGTGCTGACTTTGTGTCAATATGTCCAAATGTGCATGTCAGTGAAAGATGTCAAAAAGCCTCACTTATGAGCTTATAGTCAGGGCGTGACTGCAGACACAACTGTGTGTGTGTGTGTGTGTGTGGTTGTCGGGAACCCTTGTGTTTACCTTAAGCTGCGGCCTAGAGGTGCCATCGGACTCTGGGACAACACACGGACCGTCAGGACAGCTCCAGGAGACGTTTGTAAAGACACTGGAGGGTGAGAGACAAACACAGAGGATGTTTTCATCGGAAGCAATAATTAAACGAGATGCAAAGAGAAAAGTGCTGAGCAGTCAGGCTTTGTTACAACAGTGTGACACCACCTTCAGTTTCCTCTGTGTATCAACTCCAACCACTGATTATCACTGGGACGACTCCCACAGAAACGTCAGCCGCCTCTAATTAGGACTTTATTCTGATTTAGCTTCACTCTGATGATATGGCACAGAGGTAAAAAATGAGCAACTGATGCAACCCACAGCAACTGTTTAGTCTCACTGTCGCTCCAGACAACACTGCAACTCTCAGCTACAACTGGAACCACAATTGTTTCCAGACTCTGTCTGTGTGCTGCTGCTACTGAGAGCCCAGAGTCTGAAGTCTGACACAGACTGTGACACTACATACTGTATTAGGAATCTAATAAAGGTGGCCATTGTTATTATTATTATTTTGGCAGAAAACTGCAGAAAAACAACACAAGAGTAGAGGTTTAGGAACCATTGATCCACAGAGGAAGTGACCTTTGACCCATCATTGCTGCAGCCCATGGTTTGGTAACTGTTTATAATGTTTGTATAATGTTTATATCTTTCATTCATCTATAGGCGAACATTACCATTTAATTTTAAACATCAGTTTTAAAAAGGCTGCCAAACATTGACAAAATGCCATTATGGTGTATCAAAGTAAATGCCTCCTCTAGTGACAGTCATTACTACAGACAGGAGATATATATTTTTCTTCATTTTAATACTTGTGTTTTTGTGTTTCTATACATATATATTTATATTTCAATGCTTAACATAAAACATTTTTCAACAACATTTTTTTCAACATTTTTCTATTTGCACAGGACAAGATAAAACTAGTGGCTCGTCATGCAGTTTAATAAACTAAAACAGCAGAAAATACAAATACAACAGAACAACAAATAGTTATAATTTAAAAAATAATTGAATTATAAAACCGTCTTCAAGTCGCTGTTGAAAAAATAAATTTCATGGGATTAGGAATGAAAAAAATATTAGATGAGCTTTTTCCTTTTATGTGCAAAAAACTACGAGATGAACTGCTATAAAAAAGTAACCAATCACCTTGAGGTATATTCACAAATCCACAGTTCAATAAAACCATTCTTTTGCTGCAGGATATTCTGAAGACGTCAGTTGACTCTAACACAGCGTCTCCAGCTGCCTGGATATCAACGCTCTACAAATCCACTGCTGCCTTTATGAGGTGCCTCGCTTGTGATGAAAACTCTGGGGATTTAAGTGTGTGTGTGTGTGTGTGTGTGTGAGTTGTGTGTTTTTTAAAGGTATAATGCACAGCAGTTTCTGGCAATAAAGGAAATAATAACAAAGCCTCAATTTTCACTGGAGAACAGAGGGAAGGAAAAATATAGGGGAACTGGTCGCAGTGGTGGGGGCGAAGGTGAGGGAGTATAAGCCTGTGTGTGTGTGTGTGTGTGTGTGTCATTCAGTGCTTTAATATGATGACACCAGGCAGGCAGAGGCCATTATCAGCCTTGTGGACTGCTCTGAACACAGGCAGAGGCAGACGAGGGGGGGGGGATTGGTGCGTGGTGGTGTGCACCCCACTTTAATAAAAGAGACCCTTTGCTGTTGTCTGATTAGAAAGATCATTTCCTGACTCCGTCTTTTTCCCTCCATTAAATTGTCTAACGCCGGGCAGCGACAGTCTGTATATAATATTCTATCAGGAACAAAATAACTGGAGGTAAGAGACAGTAATGGCTGTGCGCACGCACGCACGCAGGCGCGCGCACACACACACACACATTATAGGGCAGCTGTACATGCACATACACACACCAGGTGAGGTGAAGGCAATTGAATCTAAATTGTCTGCCTCTGCTGTAATTTGATGAGTTCAATCTCCTGCCTCTTCACTCTGTCCTTCAACGGAAACACACACACACACACACAATTTGGTTAATTTAGCTGATAATTTATTCATTATAACCTTCATCAATAATAACACTGGTGAAGGTTAGTCAAAAATGTTATGACTACAAAATATAAAAATTTGAAATTAAATTGTGTTTTCATGCTTAATATTTGATATTTCATCTTTTGAATAACATTTACTTACTCTTTTCTAATTCTTGCTACTATATTTACTAAAAAAATTAAAGATTGATTTTTGGGACTGTTTAATATATTGATACATATGTTTACTGATTTAAACTAAAGTCTATATTTAAAACTGTTGATGGGTTTAGTTGAATTATTATATAGGTATATTTTGTCAACTCTAGACTACAAATATATTTTGCTAAACGTCTGAAAGATACCGTATGTAGTAAGAATTTGCTGGTAAAAGTGTCTCAGTGTGTCTGACCTACATAAGGCATGATTAACTGTGAATTTTATTTCAGAGTAAATCCCATTATTCATGTTCTTACACACTCACTGAAACGGTTGCATCATAATGAGCATTTCTGTGCGACATCAGGCAATTAGCCTTCAAAGCCATTACTGCCTGTGTAATTATCAATTAGCTTCAACATAATTATTCATGAGGAAAATGATCCTGTATCTCTCTCTCTCTGTAACTGTGTTGGTTTGGCTGCCACAGCAAACAAATAACAATAGCTGCTATTATCTTAAATGAATACATTATCATCAGGAAGATAAATGGTTGTGAAGGAAACTCTGCCGAGAGAAGGTACAGGGGTGGGGGGTCGGGGGGT